CACCCCTTGCTATCCAAGCCTGCAGCTAAACCCCCATCCTACTCCCTCCTCACAGCCCTGCTCACTGGGATGCTGGCAGGCAGCCCTTCCCTTCCCACTCTCCCAGACAGAGAGCACGGCCCTGGGAATGCCAGGCAGGCCAGTCCAAAGCGATTTAACACGCACCTCACTGCGGGCCTGCCAAGAGCATCGGATGGATGTCTGTGCTCCACGCTCCTCCAGCCCTCTGCTCCCCTCCTCTCTGACTCCTCATCCTGGTTAGCAGGTTCAAACTCACTTTGTGTCTTTTTCACTAGTTTTTGTGGAGAAACTGGTGTTGTACAGTCGGCCTCAGCCTCTCAGAGGCAGAAGAGCCCTGTCATGCCCAAAAAGAGGGACTGGCCACTCCAGCCCCACAGGCGCTATGTACAGCCCTTCATGCACCCAGTGTGACCTGCCAGTCTTTGCCCTCAGCTCTGCCCTTGTTATCCAGCTCTCCACTGGCCTCATCCCAGCAGGGCTTTGAGATCTCAAGAACAGTCAGAATTTCCAGCCAGGTGAACTTTTCCCGTCTGCTGGAAGTATAAATCTGTGGCCTCATCACGAGACTTGGGATTTTCCAGCTCTGCAGCTAATGCCATAAATTGGCTGAACAATCTTATATGCTCCAGTCTATGCCTTCCAGAGTGGATGAAGAGCCAGCCAGCCCTTCTGGCCAGTCCCCACAGGGTTCAAGCATACCTCCAAAGGCCAAGGACCATCCCCAGTCAAATGGGCAAGTCTCACCAGGTGCATCACATGCCAGGTGGTTGAAAAGTCATGCCAGGGCCTCTTCCAAGCAGCTTAACCTCAGAAAACACCCTGTGAGAAAGTGCCAGGCAGTGGGGAGGTTTGTTTTACAGCTCTATAAACAAGCTGAGACAACCCCTGCGTGCAGGCTGTGCCCGGGGAGCGAAGTGCTGACTCAGGCGTCCTCTCTGCCCCAGGGTGCCACTGCTCTGCAAGAAAATGGCCTTGCTGGGCTTCAAAATTAAGCCCTGAGCTTCAAAGCATCCACACACGACACGCATAGGGATGTCTCCAGCCACTCAAGCACATCCCGTACCCCAGAGGGCTCATTTGCTGTGGCAAGGTACATCAGCCATGAATGTCTGAGCTGTTCCATCTCAGAGAGCAGCAAAAAGCCGGCTGCTTTGGTGCTAAGCTTGACTTAGCCAGTTGAACCAGCTCCTGGAGCTCAGACTGACCCTGGGGACAGCACAGGAACTGCACAACCAGCCCTGGGGGCTGGCTGAGGAGAGAAGACAGCTCCTTGCAAGGACAGCCAGCCCTATCCTCACACTGTGCTCCGAGCAGCAACACTGATGTCCACGCAGCAGGGCTTAACCTCTCCCTTAATCCCCCCATCCTGTAGCGCTGGTACCAACCAACAGGAATTAAATGCAGCCTGTAAATCTCAGTGTGAGCTGAAAAGCTCGGTGCCGCTCTGCTGCCTGCCTCCTGACCGGCCAAGCAGCTTTCCCTCCACAGGGCTCCTGCCTGGAGGACAGCCGTGCTGCTCCAAGGAGCCATGTGATGCTTTGGAAGCTCCTCCGCATTTTTCTGCTGCTCCAAGAGGTCAGCAGCTGAATGGGAATATTTGCTTCTTGCTTAAGGGCTCTGGTGAATCCAGGATGGACATGTGCCAGACAGGGCAATTAGTGAGAAGGGTGGAAGGCCTCAGATGTGCTTATCAAGGTGGGAGGTAACTGATGGTCCTGCCTCTGACAACACTTTAGGAGCAATGTTTGAGTGCAAACATGCCTGGCTTGAGAGGAGAAGGCAGCATTTGGTATTCTTAGTTTTGAAGGCAGACTAATTTTACTGGCTACCAGCCTGAAAAAGGTCACAAGTGACAGTAAGAGAGAATGGACCCCCAAAGGATTGCTGTCAGCTGCAATGTACAAAACTGATGCCAAAAAAAAAAAAAAAAAAAAAAAAAAAAATTAGAAAAAAACCAGGGGGGGGGGTCTCGTTTTGAAGGCAGACTAATTTTACTGGCTACCAGCCTGAAAAAGGTCACAAGTGACAGTAAGAGAGAATGGACCCCCAAAGGATTGCTGTCAGCTGCAATGCACAAAACTGATGCCAAATAAAAAAAAAATTGGAAGAGATCACGGGAGCAGGCTTCCCTTCCTCCTCCAGGGGAGAGGGGTGGGACATCATGAGACTCTATGGGACTTGTACCACTAGAATCCTCTCAGCAAATCCTTTGCCCAGACATTCATGAGGCATGTAAACAACTTCGAAGAGCCTTCTCCTGGATGCTGCTCTTCCTTTCTCACAGATCATAGATGACAGGGAGTTGAAAGGGACCTACATGGATCATAAAGTCCAGCTCCTCCTGCTGGGGCTCAGCTGGGCATGTGAGCTCCACCACAGCCATAGGCTTTCTCTCTGTGAGATCTGCTAGGGTTGAGGGGATCCTAATTCTAAAGCCCTTGGCACAGATGAGGCATTACACCATGGTTTGATGGGCATTGGATCCCACTTGGGAAGGCAGCAGACTGATCCATGTCTTTGATGCACAAAGAGTGCTGGCAGAGGTACCACGTGCTAGTGTTGGGTTATCCCCAGCCTGAAATTCTCTGGATACTTCCTTATGAATGACAGAAGTTTTTGGAGCTCTTTCTCTGTTATTTTGAAGGAAGTTTGTGTTTCCACTTAGCTCCACCCTGTCTTCTCTGGCAAAGCATCTCGAGATACCTACCTTGGCACTGGGGTTACTGATGGCAAGACCACCCATCACAGCCCCTATCTCTGCCTGAGCCAGGCTTCAAGGGTGAATTCTGCCAGTGAGGGCTGCAGGTACTTCTCTCACCCATCTCCCAGCACCAGGCAGGCTCTGGAGCAGTTCTACCTGTCTTGGGGATCACAGGTCCTTTCAGAGCAAGAGATGGTCCCACCTCCTGCAGAGATCACTGGTCAAACCCCACTCCCATCCCCAAGCACACAATGTACTATAACCTCTGTCTCTGTGACTCTGAGGACATATCAGGAGAGTGACTAAAGTCCTTTCAGAGTCAGAAACCAAGCATGAACAAACTTGGGTTGGATTAGAAATAAACTACCTTTAATTGCAGATCCCCTTACGTGACCTCACAGACCTTTGAATTTGCCCACCAGCAACGTGACAGGGAAAACTGCTGTGCTTGAATAAAACCCCTGTCCCCCATTTCCCTTTCCTGTGAACACTAATCCTTCAGCTGGAAATCATTGCCTAAATGTAACAGGTCTATTTTCCTTCCCTGTTTCAGTGTTCCCAGGCCAGCCTGGGAAAGAGGCAGCAGTGGTCCTGGACCACACTTCAGCAGATGCTGTCCCAGTCTCCCAAGCATCCCCCTTGCACTCTCCAGCTCAGGATGAAACATCACCAACATCTCTTAAGTCAAACATGAGGCTGGCTTCTCACTCTGCTGTACAAAACAGCTGAGCTGGCTTGTGGACAGGGGAGGGATGTAACGTGGGAACGCGCATACGGCTTCAATTTGAAAAATGGCTAAAAATAGCTCCATGAGGCTCCCACATTCACTGAGTCTCTCCAGCAAGAGATCAATCTTTGCCAGAGAGTCCTGTAAAAGTTTTTCTCCTCTATTTTCATCTTACTTTTTCTGGAAGCAGCAGAGATGTTAGTTTACACCAGTCTTTTACCTGCCATCGGTAGGTTTCAGAGTTAATCACTGGTACCTGAGGGCATGGCTCACCCTCCCAGAACCACCACTTTGGCTCCAGTCCTGCATCTACCCTATATGAACAACAACATGACTTGACAAAGGACAATTTTTTAAATTTTTTTTTTTTGCTTTACCAGATTTTTTGGGGCATGAGTCACTGTAAAAAGCCTCAGCTTGCTGAACTGCTGTGAGCCAGTCCCACTGCACCTCTGGCTGGCTGCTGGGAAAGCTGGGCCTGCCAGCCAAGGCTCCTCCTGCCAGAGCTGGAGGGAAAAAACTGGAGGTGGCCAGGGTACAGGAGAGCTTTTAAAAGGGACTCTGCCCAGACTCACCCGGTTTCCCTAACACAGCATGAGGCCACTTCCTTGCCAAGGTGGCTTATCCTAGGGGCTGTGCTGCCTGGTGAGAGGAGAGTGGACACTGTGAGTGGGATACTGTCTCTGGGATGAATCCAGACTTAGGCAATAACTGCTGCCACAACTCCACATCCAGCTCAGCTTAGCAAATTTTGGGAGCTCTGCATGCTGTATTTTCCCACCGCAGTGATGGGACCTCTTCATCAGTACCTGGCACACCCCTGTGCCTTTGGAGAGGTCGCTCTCTTCTCCCACAGAACCATGGCTTGTGTCTCATGCTCTCCCCCTGTTCATTTTGATGCCACATCCCTGAAAGCAAGGGAGGAAAACCCAGGGTCCTGCCAGCTGATTCCACCAACCTCCTCACTGATTTCTCCACCTTGCCTCGACCATTAACCCTGTTATTTCCCAGTGAGCTGAGGAATGGATATCCCTTGCCCCAGATTTTATTGCAACAAAGATGACTGCTTGCCAGCTGCCACGACACTTGGCATTCCAGCCTTCACAACATTTGGCTCTCCAGCCTCTGCCACAGCTCCTTAAAAAGCTGAAGCAAATTCTCCCAACTCTATGCATTTGAAACACATGGCTTTGGATGGGCAAGCATCTTGCCAAGCCGGCTGGAGGGACTCACTCAGCTTGGCACTCTGAGTGCAAGCCTGTCTTCCTGCTCCGGCTGGTCTAGTTGTGTCTTAACGAAACAGGCTCTGACAACATTGTTTAATAAGGAGACACTCTGCCTCCGGGGATGGGAGAGAGAAATATGGTGCCTTGACATGTGAAAGGCAAATCCTGTTTGCTCCAAAACCGTTTGCTGGAGAGCGAGGGAAGTTTGAGGAAATGGTTTTGGCTCAGAGCAAATGTAGTACTTGGGCTGCTTGACCCTGCCATCTCTGTCTCACCCATCCAGGGGTGCTCAGGGGCTTCAGCGAGGCTGGTGGGGTGCTCTGACCTGATGATGAAGGCTCCTCTGGTTTCCAGGAGTTTCCGTTCACTGCTGAAGCGCTTGAGCAGGTTGATCATGAACTTGTAGAAGTAGGAGTTCATGGTGGGGGTGGAGGGTGAGCACTCCAGGCCTTTTGTACCTGGGGAGGCAACGGGAGAGCAAATTAGAGCTGCCAGGGCCCTGCTGCCAAAGCCTTGATGAGAGAGCAGACACCCAAAACATGGTCACAGCACTGAGATGATGAGGGTAGGGGCATGGAAAGATTTTCAAGCTTCATATAACCACATCTGGTTGGTTCAAGCAGACCCAGCCCTGTCTTAGCTCTCTCCAGCCCAAGGGAAAGCATCTTATGGTGGTCACAGCCCTGCAAGCAGCACCTGGGGTTAAAATGGGATTTTTGGGAGTTCATCTCAGAGCTATTCAGCTTCAGTAGCTGCTAGAAGAAGGAGTGGCTGAGGCTGTAATTGAGCCAATCCCATTTCCTCAGATAGGGCATGTACACTCATCCCAAAACTACCAGATTGCTGGTGAGTTGAGGAGCCTGTAATCCAACCCCATAAGCCACAGATGCCCTGAGCCCAGTGTGCACATAGTGGCAGACACACACATTCAGCCCTGGGCCACAGCACAGACACTGATTTACACTTGGTGATGTGATTTTCCCTGAGCAGGAGCCACTTGGCACAAGTGTCATATACAATGTGCCCCAGGGCTACCATAAAGTACTGGTCAAACCACAGCAGAGCTCCAGGCTTAGGGATTGTTCTGGTCTGAGACTCTTGGCAGGGGGGGCAGGGAAAGGGGCAGCTCCCAGCTCAGGGAAATATCCCCTCCAAACACAAGAGCAGGGAGCTGGCAGGTAAAGATTGCTTTTCCCACAGTGAAACCCCAGGGGAGATGGTTTATTTAGCAGGACAGCGCTCAAAGCAAATGTTTGGAGAGAGCATTTCAAAGGCGACTTTGCAAAAAGGGGAGCTCTCTTCCTTAATTTCTCCTTCAAAAAGGCCATGTCTAACTGTGGAAGGAGGGAATCCAGCACACACGAGCACCCCAAGGCTACTCTCCACACATTATTTCCATCAGATAACTAAAGGAAACCTGAGCACTTTGATTTATGGATGTTGTCTGCTTCTATGGACACTCAGCGGAGCACGGAGCAACCAATTAAAGATGTAATTAAGCTGCCAAAGCCCAGGAAAGTTGATGGAAAAGCTGCTGGTCTGTTTTCTATCCTGCCTCTCCCAATGATACACAAGAGATACATGCAGGGCAGCTTCCCCAGGTTTGGATTTAACATCTAAGAGAACATACAGAGCCAAAGAAAAAGGAAAATGAAATACAAGGTCATCCTGACCAGAACCCAGTGTCCTCTTCCCGCATGGTGCTCTGTGTTCACCCACCCCTTGGTAAATCTGTAACCCCAAACCAGGCTTTGAAGCAGGCAGCTCCCTGAGCACAAGTGTTCACCATCGCATCAAGTTTCCCCTCAGCTGCAGGGAAGATGATCTGGGCAAAGGAAAAAAAAAAAAAAAGGATCCAGCTGAGCCAATGTGCTCCAAAACAAAGGTGTGTTTGTTCGAAGGCAGGGAGTACCCAGTGTGAAAATGCAGCCGTGCCCCACATGTCGTCACTACAGCTGCTCAGCACTGCTCAAAAGGGAGCAGAGACACGGTCTGGAGGTGACATGGGGCAGCTCTGCCTTCCCACTGCACCTGCCTGCAGCTCAGCCTTGAACCTCCCAGCAGAGCCTGGGAAGGCAGGTGAAGACCAGGCAGAAACTGTCTTTCAAAGCTGCAAAGTGTATTTTTGCCCATTTTCTCAGCAACCCCAAGACACCCAAACCTGGTTGTGCTGCAACACGAGCTAGCAGCAGGTAGGACATCCCACCTTCATTCCCACCAGCTAACAATGCTCCAGCACTGTAGCTTGTCTGGGGGAAGGTCTCATCTTGGAGTTTCTCTCTTCTCAAGACTCCAAAAATAGTCTCTCCGAGCCCCACAGCAGCATCAATGGCACAGTGCTCCCTCCACAAAACAAAGCCAGCTATCTGCCTCATTGTCATCTTGCATGGTTTTCAAACATTACATATCCTAAAAGACATACCAAAGAAAAAACAGGAGGAGGCAGCAATTTTTCACTTCCCTGACAGGACCAGCACTTCTGCTGTGCATGGGACAAAGCTGTATGGAGCTGTATGGCTGCAAGACAGACCAGCCACAAGCACCTTTAGATATGTGCTCTGAAGTGGAGCAGCATCTCCTGCATCTTCAGCTGGAGACTGGGAATGATCTACTGGGTCAGCTGAGTATCCAAAAGCTGGAATTGCCTTGGAGACCAGATCCCAACTAGTCTGCAGGACCTTCAGTACTGCTATTGTCTTCCATCGACTGGCTCCTGAACCTTGGACCCTTCTGCCCAGCCTAGAAGCAAGGAAGCACTGGGATACAGAGATGGTGAAAACAAGTCTGTGCCCTGTTTTTCCTAGAAGAAATCATGTGAGTCTGCCCACTCCAGGGAGCCTTTTCACCACCCTTTGCCTCTGGGAGCACTGAGACTGAACTCCAGAGGGATCATTTCTCCATCTTTTGCCCACCTGGTACACAGCAGCTAGGCCTGCATGTTCCTAAAGAAGGTTTCCACTGTGGCACACCATGCCAGAGCAGCCTTGCCAGTGCTCTCTAGGGCTAATGCTGGGAGTGAAAAACCAGGGTGTTGGAGTCTGCCAGGCTGTAAAAGGCTCAACCAAACCTCAGATGGAGCTTAAACAGGCAATACTTCTTCCAAGCAGGCAAAGCAGTTATTTTCCAAAGCCTCCCAATCCTCCAAACTTCCCGTTTGCTCTGTTTACAGGATGTCTAGGAAGTGGCTGGCACCTTGTGTGCCATGGTGTAACCCTTCCTGGCGTAGCCCCGAGCTCAGCTCGCTGCCCTGCGGGTTACAGCTCAGCACAGTGGCATTCCCAGCCTGACAGAACTGTAGGAGCAGCTTGTCAAGTGTTTCTCTGAAGCACGAGAGACAAGCAGGAAGAAGTGTTAAGAAAACTGTGGCATAATTAATTGAAGCTTGCACCTCTCCCCCTTTCCCTGAAGCAAGACTTTGCAGATCCGTAACCTGCCAGATCTGCTGTTAACGTAGCTGGGGCTGGTGGCACGTCACAGCTCTGCTGCTTTTTTCTTTTTTTAATCTGGCATGGAGGAGGGAGCTGGAAGAAGAAAGATCCGTGCTCAGAGCAATGATGAAACTCAGTCCAGACATCCACTAGAATAGGAACAAATGGGAATTTTGGCCTCGGAGGAACATCAGAGCAGTGAAACACGACAAAAAGCATGGGGGAACTGCAGCTATATGGCCGCAGTGAATCCACATCAGCCTGGGTCCTTGTAATTGAATCACAGAAGGGACCTTAAAGCTCATCTAGTTCCAGCCCCCTTGGAATAGGCAGGGACACCTTCCACTAGACCAGGTTGCTCAGAGCTCCATCCAATCTGGCCTTGAACACTTACAGGGATGGGTCAGCCACACCTTCTCTTGGCAACCCGTGCCAGTAACCCATCGCCCTCACAATAAAGAATTTCTTTCTAATATCTAAGCTAAACTTATTTTGTCAGTTTTACATCATTATCCCTTGTCCTACCAATGGCTACAGCAACCTTCTGCAGCCCAGCATGCCAGGCTAACAAATCCTTTCCCTGGATTCCCTTCACAGACTGGGGTAGAGCCAGGGACACAAGCAGGCTTCTTGGATCATCTAAGTCAACACCAACATCTGTTCCCCCAGCCACGAGTGCCAGCTCGAGCGGAGCACAGCGAATGTCTGCAAACCCCCAGTGCACCCCTGAGTGCTCACCAGCGGCTCATGCTGTTCCCATCGCCTGCGTGGCCACACTATAAATCAACCGAGACAGGCAATTAGGGATCTATATTAAGGCCCTTATAAATATATATTGCACATCACCCTGGAACATTCAGGCTGTCTGGCTGCTTGATGGGCTGAGCTGTGTCAAGACCTACAGTATTCAAAGTGTCCCCACATTGCTCCGGGTGAGCCCAGCAGACTCTGACACTAACTTGGATTTTCCTATCTCAGCCACAAAGTTCTGAACTTCACCCTGGCATAAAACATAACTTCTATTAATTTACTATAATTGGTTTCAAACTAGTCTTAATTAAAACCGGTGTGGACTTGCTTAACTCCACTGAAACCAAATTGAAATAAGATTGGAGCAGAATTGATTCCTTTCCGAAGCGAGCTAAAGCTGGGTAAGCTGGTTAAAGAGTATCCACAAGGGTATTTGCGGTGGTTTAGCTAAAATGATTTACCGCAATCTCTAATTGAAGCAATTTCAGCTCGGATATAGGGAGGGTAAGCTAAGAGTTGGCGAGGCCAAGCATCCTTCCCACCCGAGTGCTTTCCCCAAGGCATCATGTTTCCAGCTCAGCCCAGAGAATGATCTCCCTCAGCTCTTCTGGGAGCAACAGGGATAAACCCGGCGGCAGCCGGAGCTGGTCCGTGAGCCTTCAACCCGCCCGAGCGCCAGCGGCGTGGGAGTCGGCACTGCCAGATGGTGCTCGGCGAAACCCCGGGCAGCGACGTGGGAATCTGCACAGCGTCTCTCCCCGGCAGCCTTCCCCAGGATGTTTTGAATTTTAGCTTTTGCAAACACAGAGTGGTGAAGCCTCACGGAGCAAGATAAAAATAGAGCCGTAAAAAAAGGCAAATCCTCCCCTCCTCCTCCCAGAAAGCCGGCGCAGGGCGTAGCTGGAAACAGATGTGAACATGTCGGCAGCTCAGCTGGGCTCTGGAAAACCTCCACTCTCCCCTTTCCAGAGCACAGGATGCTGCTGACGAAATAAACACACCAAAATTCCGGATTGCACAGCCAGGGGCTGTGCTCAGCCTGGTTTTGCGTGGACACACATGGATGTTTCTCCCCATCCTACCTGGCTAAAGGGTTTGTAATGGGTTTGTAATGGTGTTACGGTTGTAAGGGTTTACATGGATTTGTAATTCCTGAGATTTCAACATCTGGACAGAAAGGGGATCCCAGACAGGTTGGGGTACATATTTTGATGCCAAATCAGGCTTTTGCTGCTCCTTGTTCTCCCTTTAGGGTCGTAAGGGTTTATATGGATTTGTAT